ACGAACATTTCGCGACTGCCATATGCAGAAAACGAAGCTAAGATGATAGCAAAAAAGCTGGGTGTCGAGCCTGTGTTAGGACAGCAAGCGACTAAGGAGGCAGTACTTCAAGCGATGAATTCAGTGGCCCTAATTCATATCGCCGCACACGGTGATGCAGAAAGAGGAGCAATTGCTCTTGCACCATCTTTTCGAATTCCTAACGGGATTCCTCAAGAAGGACTCAACTTATTGACAATGACGGGCATTTCAAAAGTTCAACTGCGAGCTAAGCTGGTAGTCCTTAGCTGTTGCCACAGTGCTCGTGGACAGACAAAAGCCGAGGGCGCAGTCGGAATTGCCCGAGCATTATTAGGATCTGGCGCACGCTCAGTGCTGGTGGCACTGTGGGCCCTGGATGACGAAGCAACGGCGCAGTTAATGACTCATTTCTACAATCACCTTGTTGCTGGGGAAAGCGCTGGTGAATCTCTACACAAGGCCATGAAGTGGATGAGAAGTAAGGGTTACGACGTGAACCAGTGGGCACCTTTTATACTGATTGGAGAAGACGTGACGTTTGATTTTGGAACGAATGGTAAGATTTAATGAAAACACGTGCTTCCATATTTTTGCCAAGGGTTCCTAGGCTTAATATTTACTCACAGTTTCCTTAGATGTTATCGATCAAGCTTTTTGTTTTTTCAAAAGAGGGTTAGGTTTTTATATATCTGATTATTTCCTTATCGTTCAGTTGTGGTTTGATCTTGTGCCGCTAATGTCTTTTACAACTGATAACGTACTCTGTCGATCATGAGGGTGTAGAATGTGAAGCTACCTAACGAAACTTCAACGTAGTCTTTAAACGGATTAAAAAACGCACTCGTATTTCGAGGGTCAGTGACCACATGAAAACTGCGGCGATTTGAAAAATTGCGAATTTTTGACATCTTGATCTTCGCGCATTTTGACTTCTCGCATTTTCTGCGCTCGATTTGGCAATGAAATTATGTTCTGTTTATTCTCCAATGAATTTCCAATGTTGTTGCGAAAGACAAATGGATCACCGCTGGCTGTTTTGTATGGTCCACCTTCCTTTACAAGCTTGCGCAACATTGCGATGACGCTCAACTGAAGGCGTCCAAAACTTCTCTGAAAGTGCGTACGGTTCCAGCAGAAGTTTAAATTTTAACAAGCCACAGCCATGAATCCGACTTAAAACGAATCTATATTTTGTAATTAGGCAACTGCTTTTTAAGAAAATGTATTTAGATAGTTATAATTTTTTTGGTTTGTTTATTTTCTCTGTCAGGTGTTGGCAAGAATGATCAGGACGGCAGCGAGTGATCGAATGAGAAGTAAAACATGCCATGACCTCAGTTGACAGTTTTAGTGGTAGTGCTATAAATTAAATAGACGTTTAACTTTTGGTCCTTTTCTGCCTAAAAGATTTTTCATTTCTCTTGAGGTTACCAGGTATTTTAACAAAAACTTTTGACACGTAATCGGAGTCTGCAGTGTACAGCTGAGCGCTGAGCTCTAATAACTGCTTGAATCAGTTAAACCATAGTTCGTTAGGTAACTTTTGGTATCGGTCTTTTAGATTATGACAGAAATTGTTCTAGTCTTTGCTGTGAGGAAATATAAGGAGTGGGCTTAACTTATTAACCTAGTGTTTTACCAGCGAGACTTATTGAAGATTATAACATTATTGTACTTGAAAAGTTCCTACACTTAGTAGCAATTGTAAAACTAACTTAATTGAAGAAGTAGAATTTAAAATTAAAATAGTGTGGGTAACAACATGCATTTCCTTTGCCGTTCCAGTTGTTACCTCTCTGAACAAGTTTCATGCACAAAATCCAGGTTTTGTTAGTTTTTCCATATATCAGACCTTCTTTTTACAAGGTAAAAGAGCTTTTCTATTTGAAATCTTATCGAGCATTAAGTATGGGTCGAAATTAAAATCTGGGGGTGGGGCCGGGGGGTGGGGGGCTCCAATATAAAAAAAGATAGGGATGCTTGTCGTCACTTTTAGGGTTTTAAAGAGCGGTTTTGGAACCTCTAAGGGTGTTCGGCCTCAAAAGGTCCACAGCGGGAGTTTTTTAGGGGTTATTAAACGAGCGGTTTCGGGACCTCTTAGGGTATTCAGCTACCCACATAAGTTTCACAGCGGGAGTTATTGCGGTAGCTTTCACGGTACTTATTTGATAATCAACTATACGAGTAGAAGGTATTTGAAGCAATCGTCTTCAACACCATTAACAATTATTTAAGTGTCAGTTAATGTGTTGTTTTAGAATTGGTTCCTCTTCAGGGTGAAAAATTGTTTTACGGCACGCCCACAAAACAGGATCTTGGTACCTTTTAGGGGATCTTTTCAAAATTTCCGACGAGCCACCGGATCATTTTTTATACGGGAGTTCCGCCCTCCCCCATCTTTTAGAAATGAAAAGAGCATAAGCAGCATATTTGAATTTTTCTTGAACACTGTGCACGTTTACCAGTAAGGTTTACAGTTAGCTTTGTAAATAGATGCGACTGAAAATGTTGACATGTTGAATTGGTTAAATTTACATAAAGTAATAAGAGTTTTAAGTAGAGTTACATAAGAAATTGTTCTCATGACATTTATCACATTTATCTTGAACATCGCGCTTTTCTCATATAACAAGAACTTTTTTAGTTTCTATAAGCATTTATTGCCTTGGAAAAGTTGGCAGGCCTATCATTTTTTTTTTGATGTTTAAGTCTAGAGGAATAAATGAAAACTGTAAGTAACGTAAATCTCAGCTCGAGTCCATTTCTTTAGACTGCTTCTCAGCTCGTTTAAAACTGTGGCAACGTCGGAGCCTGACTGACAAGGAGTGAACTAGGGGGGTAGGGTGGAGGGAATAAACGCTGCGTATTCCTTTGTTCTCTACCTGGATACGGTGAAGAAACGCTATTATTTGATTTCGCACGCTTTCGTTGAAGTACGGAAACGGCGAGAAAAACGCGTGAAATTGTCCCCACTATAGCGACACAGTAAAGAAACAAAGAAGCATGCCAGCTTTATACAACGACCACGTCAAATTACCAAATTCATCGTATCATGTAGAAAGTGAATGATGTCCTTTTTCCGATGTAAAATGAAAATGTTACATGGCTGAAGTCAGCAGTGACTAAACAATCTTCTTCTTCGATGTGATTTGTCTGGAAAATGAAAGATTTATGAAGGATTGCGGCGTGACAACATACCGAGCCCTTCTTGTGGTCATAGGTGAATTTTCACAGGTTACGATAATTGTCTTTGTCTACTTGAACTGTCAGTGAAAACTGAAACACATAGAAAACGAAATATTGAATGTGAAGATGTGGACATGAAAAGAGTATAATTTACCTCAATGTACAACCACGTGTGCTCAGAAGAATAAGTTCAGTGCGTAACTTGCACCCTATGGTATCATGTTATTGAAGTTTCGTGTTTGTTTAGCTTGATTTCGAGCGACACGTTTATTTTCAGTTATTTTATACTGCACTGTAAATTGTCTTACCAACAACCCACCTATTCTGAGCTCAACTGCTGTTGTGAGGGAGAAAAGAACTTGGCCAATATTCGCCTCCATCTTGACCTCAGGCTAGCCCTGGTCAATAACCAATACAACTCTTTTTTTCTGACTGAAGAATAGATGTTTTTATCTTGAAACACCCCGCCGATGGTTTTGTACAGAAATCATGCCAATTACTTTGGCCCAAATCTTTAGCGAACTTCGAAGTTGCATAAGATGTAATCACAGTTATCGAGTGAAATTCATACACCTTTAGCTTCGTCAGCTCTTGGCCTGAAAATTTCCAATGACCATAGCGTCTGAACGTTTTCGATGTGAATTCTAATATAAATAGACAAGCTGATGGGAAAACACCCCTCGGATGGTTTGCCGGCCCTTGTTGCCTGTGGTGCGTGAGATGCAATTTTTGTTTTTGAAGAATGTATTTTGTAACAATATCGAGCCTGAAATTTTCGAAATTTTAAGAATTTCTTTTAAGAATAAACCCGAGGCTGACATTTTGAAAAGAAAATAATCTTGTGTGTCGAAAATTTATAAACACAATACAAGTATCCCAGGAATTATATGTTTTTAACTAAACCGTATAAAATTCTTCCTTTCTCTGAACGACAAAAATAGCCAAAAAGCAACAAAAACAGCACTTGCCGTATGCTCGATGCTAGTAACATTTATTAAACGTTATGTGCGTCATATCAGGCGGCTTCTTAAATTACTTTATCATCATTAGGACACTACCCTAAATACCTTCTCAAACAGAAATGTCATAGCGGAGCTCCCACGCGTCGAAGGCCTGCGAGCGGAGCCCCATACCTTGGAAAATTTGGTAACCCATCGATCTCAAAATTTTTGCTTGTCACGTGACTGTCCGTAAGTACGTCCGTACACCAAAATAAAAATAAGAGAGTAGCACCATAACCCTAGGTACATCTTTGATATAGAGCGTTTTCATGTTTTCATCACATTCTTCAATCCAAAACTAAAGAGCCACTAATGTTTTTATCTTCATTAGGCATAAGAGGTACTAATTTCATATCTGTTTATATTTTTATATCTGTCTGCATAACCTTTGTTTCCCATTTCTTCTGGGTATTACAGTCGTCCCAAGAGAAACTGAAGACAATGCTTATGCAAAATTTTGGGGGGGCAAACAAGGTGTAATATGGGAGATGTGCATGGAAGTGGCGATGTGTACACGATAAACTGTGCGCTGTATGTAACTCTGCACTGGCACTTGTACTGTGGCCCTGTCGACACCAAAAAGGAAAGACCACGACATATTTAACTAGGACTAGAGAAGTCAAAGAATTCACAAAATCAAAACTGATGTATAGTGTCTGGTGATACCCGATGTTACTCGTAGGTTTGAAATCTTTGAACTAAGCACGATTTATAGCGAAAATAGGTCTTATGTACACGTCATGAAATGGCTCAAAAAAGGAAAAAAATGAATAAACAACAACAACAACGGCAAACGTGCCTCTGATCAGTTGCTTTTTATTATGAAATATTTTGCTGCATTATCGTAACATGTACATCACTCAAAATTAATAAGAGCTCAATCTCCTGTCTTTCCTTTACAGTTTAATGTTCGTAGTAGGAAACCTGAGAACAATTCAATTGCTCTCGAGAGAAGTTGGTTCGTATTTTTAAAAGAGTCCTTCTTTGGTTCGTCACGTAACGATTAGCTTTGTGTTACTGGCAAGAAAAGCGTTACCTGACCGCCTAAAGTGCTGTGAAAGAGACTAACACATTAGCAAATTTACTTTAGAATAGAATTGGTTAAAATGTTGCAGTAGAAGGTTGGCGTAGATGAAAGTATTGAAGCATTAGTGGATAAGGTTAACGTTTCTTAATAATTCCCTTAATTGTGTCGACAATTTGATCCACTTTTGGGTTAGCCTTGAACTCCAGTGTCTCACTCACGTGGAAGATTCTTTTGGGCACGCGATCGTACAGCCATTGATCAGGTCTCCAGCCATAATGAATAACAATGACCCGGTTAACAACTTCATCCTCGTCTAGGAAAGCTTTGATGATGCTGCCATCGAACACTACGTATTCTTCGTCGAAATCAAAGGTTCCCTCTTGAATAAACTTCTCGCTATCTTGAGTGTAAACGAGGATAACACAACGGCTTATAAAGAGCTCGTCTTCGAGGGTGGAGTCATCTGCCAGGGCGGAACTAACAGTCGTGAGCTTGGCTAAGGAACCAAGTCTCGCCTGCAGGTAGTCTTTTAGTTCCTCGCTACGACCGTGATCTTCTTGCGTGTAAAGGAAAAGCACGTTGGACATTGCGAATCTTAAAGAAAAACGGAAATACAGCAAGATTGAAAATCACCGATGTCATGTTGTTTTAACTCGAGCTTTGATTAGCTAAGTAGTCTTAATGTACGAGTCTACGTAAACACCGTAATGCACTATGTTGGCTTTACAAATTTACCAGTGCAAACAAAAATGATCCAATTAGTCACAGAATGACACAGATGAGGGAGTAAAGTGCAGGCTGCAGACTGTAGACGTTTTTCGACGTTTTAACTAAATCCTGTTACCATGACCATCATTGAGAGCTAACCGTAAACAGGGTAGCCGGTGCGTTATTTAGGCTAAACGGCACTGAAACGGAACGCAGACATTCACTGCGACTAGCCTGAATAATCCTGTTTATGGTCAGCACGCGATGCATTCTACCCCCGGTCGGCAGTCTGCGTTTTACACCGATCGGTATCCAATGCCACGTGATCGAATCACCTATAGATAGCCTTGAGGAAGTTGAAAACTCTTCCTGAAGCCTTGTAACGTACGTGATGTAATAGTTTTAGTTATTCTGTAATTGGAGATCAACTAGTCGATGTTGAAAACGTTGATTTCGTGAAAATCTTAGTCCAAGAATCTAGCCTATCAAATCATGTGTAGCCGGAGTCATCTTTAGCTCGTGCCAAGGCCCGCAGGCCAGGAGGAAGAGATGGTTCTGGGGACACGAAAGACTGCAAATCAAACAAAATCCAGCCTCGTTCCCATGGCCTTTTCCCTAAGGAGAGGGCAGTGGGAACGCGGCTGACTTCAAAGTTTGTTCCTGGTGGCCAGGCTACCATGAGTAGCCGTTGTATTGGTGCCCTTTTAAGGACGTTCGCGCTAATTGTTTCTGCGCGCCCTTACGGCGCACGCAAATTCACACGCCACGTCATGCATGAGAACGCGCGCTGAGTAGGCCTTTCCCGATTATGCTAGTAAAACTAGCATTTTATGCTCCTAGAAATTCCGTTTTGGGCCAGAGCAAATGCTCAAATTATGCTCGATTCTCAAAATAATGTTACTTTGGTTCCAGAAAATGCTCTGTTTTATTTCAAGCAAAACGTAGAAACTCAGGCATCATGTGTGTATCAGCAACTAATTAATGTGAAAAATGTTTAATTGTTTGTTTATAAAACTTCTGATATAGCCAAAACTTGTCCAATGATAAACAGTTAATTAATGTTCGAAGTCCTCAGCGCTTGTTGTACTGTGACATGACGCTGGCCTGGAGGTAGTCAACAAGAGCACAATTCTGTATTCTGTTGCTCGTTGAAGGACGCCTTCAGTATTGAAAACACTCTTTCTGCCGTAGCAGACGATGGTTGGACAAGGAGAACTTGCTTCACTGCAGAAGCCCAACGAGGAAGTTGCTCCTCGTGCCCACACCACCATTCGACTTCCTTCTCTTCAGTCGGGATAACAACATCTTCAGCAGCAGCCAAATAGGCAGAAAGCTCGGCTTTGAGACCGTCGATGATAGCATCACTGTCCAGGAAAGGAAATGCTCTCAAAGACTCTACTAATGCATTTGTGGGTCTAAGCCACTGGATGCTCACGGGGCAGAATAGTCTGGCAGCCTTGAATGCTACCACTACGTCATGAAGATCGACATTGAACTTTCTCAGAAACCATGTAATTTAGCATTTTAAATCTTTTGAGTGCTGAAATCTAGATCAAAGTTATGAAAAATGCCAGGAGCCATTATGGCTCCTGAAAATGCTAAATAATGCTTACAATTCTTTTTACGGAAAAAGTGTGAAAAAAAAATGCTTGTTTAATCAAATAATGCCAAAAAATGCTAGCATAATCGGGAAGGGCCTAGCGCTGAGTAATAAAATGAACAATGATAGGGCAGATGGCCATTGCTATAGCTTTGCCTCGATTTAACGATCTTGGACGTTCGGTGACCCCTACTTTTCTTGTGATGGATCATTTTCACGTTTAAGTTTGAACTTTTTGCAAAATTCACTATCGAATTCCGTTCTTTTTAGCTCTTTGTTTATCTGTGCGGCGGTTTCAAATGCCTCTTGAAGGGTTACGTTTTGTGAAAACGTTGGCAACATTTGGAATTATTTACGCAACAGACCCACTTCTACAAAATATGACTAAGATCGTCTGCCTCCGTTGACTCACATTCGATATTTTTAACTATAAACCCCCGTAGACCATGCTGGATTACGTGCGCCAAATTTTCAAAATCAGGGTATTTTTTCACACGCTTTATTTCTGAAACGAAGTTGGTGACCCCCAATTATTTTTGAAATTCGGACACAAGTAACTCATTATCTGACTGCAGTAAAATCTTTTTAAATTATATCTCGAGTGAAAAATTTACAAAACAACTCGCGCTCACGGAAAAGGGAATACCCATAAGTGTGACCCCTTTCCCTAGCTTCTAGTCTGGCAATCTGTTTTTCTCTCGAAATGAGACGGGAATTATGAGGCGAGGCATTTCAGACTAGAGGGCATTGGGACTTATCAAGAGACTGCGTTCGTGTTTATGGAGATAAACACTCGTCCGACCCTAAGAGAACAGTCTAGGGTAAATGCATCTAATCAGTTTTCTTTACCGATATTTCAGCCTGTTTTTGCGCAGGTTTTGACAAGTTCCGGTTAATTCCCTGAAATACTGCAGGTTGGTCTGTAGCGCACAAGAGAGGCCCTATTAGGGGTTTTCGGAATACGGGCCACGCGGGATAATTTTGGTAAAACAATAACAGGATACAGGATATTTGGAGAGAAAATTAATTCCGAATATCTAGAAGAAAATTGTAACTTTTTGCAATTGGAATTAACGGGATGTTCAGGCGAAAAAATAAATAAATAAATAACGGGATGTGGGATATTCAGTTAGTCCCCTAATGGGGCTTCACAAGAACACCGCGAGACATCTGAATGTTTCGGTTAACCATTAACAGTTAACCTTTAGCGACCCGCGGTTTGATCGAGACCGTCTGTGTGATATCAGATACTAAGATAAACGAAACTAAAATCGATTTGTCGTCATTACTTTCCGTCTGTGGCAAGTGCCTATCGATTAAGACAGCTAGGACGCTGGAAAATACTTCAGGAGGACAAAATATCAACTAGGTAATAGCACATTCTAATTTGAACTAATGAAAATATTTTACTGGTGACGCTAGAAGAAACAGAAAGTGTTGGTCGTTTTAGCCCATGATACTGTCAGTGTGTTCTCGTTATAATATAAAGTTTACATAGCATTCTCCCTACGTTCATGAGTTCAATTATTTAAATTTTAATAAGGCTAGTTTTAGTCCAGTTTGTCAACGTTTCGCTGAGAAAGATATTTAAAAATGGCAAAGAAAGAAACCATTTTAATCAACATCGCAGTGAGTCCTGCCTTTATAAAAGCAGCATGATCTGTCTTCAATTGAACTCTTCGATATCCGAGCCGCTTTGAATTTCAATCAAATTGCTTACCTTCTACCTTGTTTTGCGTTGTTCCAGACACGTGCTGTTTTAGAGCGTGTTTCAGTCTGTTAGTTGATGGCGGATGCAGAAACACCTTCATCCCATGTAAGTCCCAAATCCACTTAGTCGCACAATAACAAGTTTAGTAGTCGGTAGGCTAAGAATGTGAAACAAGAGCCCTTGTGAGGGTCAAGAACGTAACTTAACCCCGTTGATTACTGTCAGTATTTCTTTCTTTCCTTTGTTCTTCAATAATAACGCATCAACATGCAAGGCACGATCGAGCAAATGTGTCATAAAGACCCCGGGGGGAGGGGTGCTCCCTTATATGGGCTGTATAGGTATGTGCGGCCCCAAAGGGTATGGTTTTTCAGCCGTTTTGGTCATAAATCGGGTATCGATTTTGGCCATTTTCATCTGTAATAGGGTATGTTTTTAGCAGTTTAGTCTTGAATTGGGTGTGTTTCTTAGAGAAAGCTACTTTTTCATCATTATCAATAAGACCGTCAACGAAAGCCCGTCATAACCTATGTCTCTGACAACTGTGTCAGCAGCAACGGTCATAAATAGCCGGGTATCGGATATTTTTGGTCAGGTCATAAATAGGATAGCAAAAATCGCAGATTTTGGTCATAAATAGGGTAAGGTTTCTGGGAAGTGGGCAGCACACCCCACCCAACTTTTCTGGGAGTACACCTCCCCCTCCCCCCAGAAATAAAGAATGCCATTTTTGGCTTATATTTGCCAGAAATCAAACTAAAGCTCGCTAACTCACATTCCTATCAAACAGAGCCAATTAACGTCAAAATCAATTTACTTTTCATCCACTTTTCATCGAAAACAAAAATTTTGGTCGCCTGAATCCAGATCCGCCCTAATTAAGAGATGGAGAGTGACAATTATGCTCTCTTGCTCACATGTGGTACATGGATTTAAACACCTGACCCAACAGGGAAAGTCATAAAACTTACAAAATTTTAAGAATATTTTAAGAATAAACCCGAGGCTGAGATTTAGAAAAGAATATAATTTTTTTGTTTTGAAAATTTGAAGATAATACAATTGTATGCTTTTAACTAAACCATACAAAAATTCTTTCTTCCCTAAACGGCAAACTAGCCAACTAAAACAGTACTAGCCGTATGTTCGATGCTGAAAATATTCCTCCGAGGGAGATATGTGTGTCATATCAGACAGTTTATTGCCTGCAGTCAGGCTCCAAAATTGCTTCAACGCTATCAAAGTCAATCACACGCTATAATCTAAAAATGTTCACAAGGATATTTCCAGCCTAAAATCGGCAGAAAAATAAGAATATTCAGCCTGGGCCGGAAAAACAATATGCTCATATGATATAGCAAAAAAGCGCATAGTACATATCACTTTTATACATGTATTTACATTAAAACCCCGGCCAACCGGGGAAGTCACGCGATACTAATAAAGGCTAGTAATTCGGAAAGTATATAGGACGCCAGGTTGCGTGATTTCTTTCTGATGGTTTACTGTGTTCATCTCTGACCTGTTTTTAGGCTCTTAAAGTATCTCGTAGAGTACATACTGAAATTTTTCGCGGGTTGCGATCCCCAATTCGACAAATCCTGATTTATTTTCAAAATAAAATGCGTCATTTTATAACCATTTTCAGACCTCTCAAGTTTTGTCTACTTTTTACCCTCCTACAAAGTTGGCCGGGATTCCTAACATCATCATTATACTTATAATTGAATCCTTTGTTTCATTTGTTTCCAGAATTATAGGCTTTGTTTACCGATGGAGATACATTGGTCAATGAAAAAATAAATAAGTGCACGCTCGAGGCTCAACAAGGTACAAACTCCTGCTCACCGCGTGAGAATACGCGCCTTCATTAATAACCAGCGGTTACCAATAAGTCGAGGTCACACAACAAGCAAAATTCATCAAAATAAGAATTTTTTTAAGTTCTAATTTAATCAAATTCTTAAGTTTGGAACCGCAGGTTTTTCGTCTTCAAACGAAAAAGAGGGCAAAAGAAGAGACCAGAAAATATCATTTGGCGCGATTTATAATTACTATTTTTAAGCAGTGGTCAACTTAAGAATTCCAAGAACAATTTCGTATATAATCATAAAAATTACAATTTCCTCGATTATGATTGGTTTAAAAAACTCTTATTTTCATTTTATTCACTTACCAAGTTGTTATTGGACAGTTTGTTATCGGACAGTAAAATAAGCTAATCAAATTCAAAGTTGTAGTTTAAATCAACCAATCACAACCTTGGTTTCAATCACCAACAATTTACGCCTCCTGTGTCAGTCTTTTGATGCAAATTTTCCCTTTCTTTCATAGCTTGGCTATTCTCCTTTTCTCGGAAAACGTAATTTTTATGATTAATTGGTAATAAGACTTCGTGTCAACAGTTCAGTCTGTAATCATACTTGTGATAAGCAAATCGGACTCCCGCTGCGCGGTAGTCTGATTTTGTCAGAGTGCTCGTATGATTACAGACCGATTTGGACTCCATTCAGTCCTATTACGACTATTACCATTACCAATAGCGCCAGAGTAGAGAACTTGAGACCGGAGGCTGAGCTCCTGGCCACGGCTAGTTCCTTTAAAATATGTTTTCGTGGTATTTACAGCGGTTCTATTATTTTCATCGAAGTAAAACCTAGAAGTTGAGAATGAAAACCGCCAAAAAGCAACTAGAAAAAGATCACACTGAAGGAGACTGACAACCTTCAAGAAAAGATGAGAATTCGTATGCCGTCAGGAGAGGCCATCCACGAGCGCGTTTGACAGATTACCTATCAAGTGTATCTACACTCACTGAGGATCTTTTAAATTTAATTATTTTATTATTATTATTTGCATTATATTTGTCTCTTCAGAATGCCTTCGATGAGCAAAAGAGGAACTGCCTATTAACCTGAGGTTGAAGAATTTTCAAGAATAATTTTTGCCGGTAAAGCTTTGAACTGTACCTTAATTTGAAGCGCAATGTGGGTTAAGTTACTGCTATGAAAGTTTGGCCATCGGAGCTGCGAGAAACGTAAAGTCGCGTGCAAACTTTTTTACTCTGCGCAAAATATGTATTTCCTAGAGCACACGCGTCAAACATCCATTCAGTACAATACAATGGACTACAAGATTAGTGGCAAAGAAAATTTACTCTCACAATTTAAGCGAGCGAGTTCGCCACAGCTGAGGGTTACTGTATTGTGACCTTTTCATGGTATTGCAGAATGTCCAGTTCCATCTTGAACTGCAAATGCGAACTTTTATCCCAGAGGACCCAGAGAACTTTAATCCATATAGATGTATAAACTGTCTGATGTTCCAAATTGTTATAGCTACGCACGGGTCTTTCCAATCAATATTCCCTTGATGCAGTCTTGAAGCTGATCTAGGACAGGATTTCCTCCACGTATTTTTCCGCCTTCCAGGTGAAATATTCTCCTTTCATCAAAATCAGTCGGGATCCAGTCGTTCTTGGTTCTTTCTGTGAAGAAGACAATTATCAGCCTTTTCAGAAGATCCTTGTTTTCTGTGAACTCTTTGTGAAAGAGTTTGCCGTCGAAAGTTTCAAAACCATCTTCGATTTCTGTGCGTTTGTTGTGAATAAGGGATGATGCCTCGCGTGACCCGATCAACACAACACAGTCACTGCGGGGAAGTTGATCTTTGAGCTTCTGTTCCTCCGCTAAAATGTCTGTGATGTTTCGTAAATCTGCTACCGAGCGAAGCTTGCCTTGTAGATAGTCTTTTAGTTGTTCGGCTTTCGTACTGTCGTTTCCAGTGTACAGGAACAAAGCAAACTTCATTTCTCAAATCGATTTTTGCGTGAGGATATATAACGATATGAATAAACACGCTTCTTGAATAGTATCAATGCCTGTCCTTCTTTCAAGTTGAATTATTCAAGCCGATTGAAAAATGCTGGCATAAATCTTTCATAGGAAGATAAGGTAAGGCTTTTGATCCTCGGCGGAGAACAGCCGTCCTTTCAGGCCTCAAATATTGCAACCAGATAGACAGAGAATTCTACATATATTAAAAGCGCTGACCGAAAATAATTTGCGACATCAGTACCTTAATTATTTCAAATGCAGCTCTTTTCTAAAATAATTAAAGTGGTGACAACCACCAATCTTTAATCGGCCAATAGCAGAGGTAATTTTTTTGTCTGTGCATAAATTAAGAAACAGGTGCTTTCTTTGCCGCATAATTTTGTAGGCTGACATTGAAACAGAAGCAACCTTTTCACCCACGTAGCAAATTAATTGTAGGACAGAACATCATTGCATTGTGCCTCGTTTCTAAATACGTTCTGAATGAATTAAAATTTCATATCCGCCTCAGTTTGGGAACGAGGCTCATTTTCGCCTTGCTGTTGTTGTCCCTAGTCCTCCACTTCCCACTGAAGGAACGCCTATCAATATTCGCACTGGAGTGTCGCTGGTTCATCGATGATGGTTGTACGGTCGAGATTCGTCGGGTGTTTTACACTTTAGATCGTGATGAATCGTGATATGCAGAGTTGAATAACTGATTATTATCCCGTTCGTGGCATAAATATGGAGACGAGGGAAATCGTCTTGTTAAGTAATTCGCGTTGATGCCATGTATACGATTTGAGCGCGCCCTTCTGGAAACCTAAACGGCCGGCTAAAAGGTGCTTTCAATACATATAATTACATCTTCAAGCCAGGATTAAAAGATTAAGGCATGAAAAGAGAAGAACAGGAGTTGCTCGAGCGAGCTGAAGGAAATGAAAGTCGGGAGGAAAAGCCAGAAATTGAAGTTAATCAACAAGATGACGGCCTGGAAGATGAATTTGACCGAAATTTCTGGATCAAGGTATCAAACTTTTATGAATTTTTTATGAATTTTTTAAGAATTTGAGTAGCGAGTTTGGATTGTTTGATATTGATATGGGATAAATTATAATTAGATTATTTAATCAAAAACAGACAATGCTATTGGGTAAAATTTCCCAGTACACTGTATGTATAAAAATAAATTAAAGATGTTAATTGTAAATTCAGTTTTGCTTTGTACCCTCTTGAACACAGCAGCCTAACATGTAGACAAATGGTTATAAGGATGCATAAAATGAAATAAGTTGTTCTCCCTGGTTGATGCGTGACACTTAAATGGATATAATAATTCAGAAGAAGATAAAAATTGAAAACTGATGAGGTAGAGTGATGTCTTGAGAAAGAAATGTGGACACATTAACATTAAAATTTTTAGGTTCGACAAAAGTATAGAGAAGGAATGCCATGGAACAGAGCAATGGATGAAGTGCGAGTTGAAAGGCTGATCCAAAAATACAAAGACAATGGTGAGCTAGTCAGTGAAGACCCTGCTCTTGTGATGTTAAAAAAGTGGCCAGCATCAAAACAGTATCAAGATAATTTAGATCGCCTTCCAGGCCTTGAGCGACTGGTATGTATTATGTATAAAATCACATCATTGTTTATTTTATTGAATATTAAAACTGAAACCACAGCTGGAAGAAATCTGAACATATGTTGGATTTATCAGTTTAGTACTGTCCTTTTAAAAGCCCTATTGGTACATGTAGTTGTATGTAGTGTCACTAAGATTATTTCTTATGATAATTCTTATGATTAGTTCATTAGTTCTGTATAAATTGATTGAGTATGAAGAATGCAGGTCACTGAGAAAGAATGGGCTAGTGAAGGACAGAAGCCACCAGCCTGACTGGAAACTCCACTAACCCTAGACTGTCGGCCATATCAGACTTTCTTTGCTTTTGAAACACTGTCATTTTTACTGGCTATTTCTTGGGTATTTTCACCGTGACACTCGTTAACTTGTTTACTAATCCTCTGCCAGCTGCATGTAATCTTTCTTGAACATTAGTCAGAGTGTAGCTCAAAAGTTTTAATGGTAATTTTTGAATCTGTCTTCCTCAATTTGAAAGAATAGTTTTCTCACTGTTAATATTTGCATTTAGCAGTAATTAGCAGTTAGTAGTGAACTACCATTGACATGTGGTTTCTTGCAGATTAATAGATTTTTGGAGATCCTATTAAAGAGTGAACTCAATGCAGACAATAGATATGAGACGTTCAGAGATGATGAAGATAAGACAAAGAAGACATTGATGCACTATGTAGCTGAGCTTGACTTTCTACACGTCACTAAAACACTTGTGAAAAAATGTCCAGGCTTGTTGGCTCTGAAAACAAAAGCCCAGCTTAAACCTGAGAAGAAGCGAGGTTTATTACCAGTTGAGTTAGCGTTGACAAAGGAGAATGACGATGTGGCAGCATATTTGATAAGGATGATGTGGCATGAAAGGTAATGACTTAATTAAGCTTAATTACCCTTAAGAGGTTGTGGAGGCATGGTGGCCTCGTGCTTAGTGCACCCAACTCCAGATTGAGTGGTCTGGGTTCAAGCCCTGGCCAGGGACATTGCATTGTGTTCTTGGGCAAGACACTTTACTCTTACAGTGCCTCTCTCCAACCAGGTGTATAAATGGGTACCGGCGAATTTAATGCTTGGAGTAACCTTGCGATGGACTAGCATCCTATCCAGGGAGTAGTAGAAATATTCCTATTCGCTTCATGCTACAGAAAATGGGACATTAAGCTTTGGCCTGATGGGCCACTTGGCTCAAATGCAGACTTTACCTTACCCGTAAGAGGTACAGTGAACATCTTTACATTCCTCACAGCTGCCAAATGATGTCCACACCTTTTCAGTATTAGAGGCTTCACCTTGCATTTGAGTGCTTGTTTTCCTCATACATTAATGAGGGTTATACAGGGGTATTCTTGTGATGTGTGATTAGCTGATTTCATTTTCCATGAAATGTGAATTTAAGAAATTATTCTTCGTGATCCGTGACCAGAAGGTATTGCATGACCCGTTAATAACTTGAATTGTCTAACCAATATTCCTGATTTCACTACTCTACTCTTCGTGATTTTGAGATGTGAGTCCTCCAAATGGTTAGAGTTGTCTGTCAAAAGTGATTTAGGTATGCGATTTGCAATATGGAGCCTTTACTTAGCCTTTCACAATTTTTCTTTCTTCAAACACTCTTTCCAGCGTAAGAGTGGGTCATTCAAAAAGGTACCTCACTTGCTTATTTTCGTGATTCGGGAAAATAAAATTTTGATGTCCGTGATTGCTTTTTTTCACTCGTGAACTGTGCCAGAGACTCTCTTTAATTCGACACATTTGTTCATATTTTCTCTCCTTCAGAGTCCAGAGTTTATTTTCATGGAGGCCTGGTGATATGTCAAATCCTCAGCCATCTTTCTTTAGCTTCAAGT